ATGGCTCATGCATCGTGGTGGTATTACTTCTCAAAGTTCACCGAGTTCTTTGACACGGTAGGTATATTTTCCGCCCAATACTTTGGTAAGAAAATACAGATATTTTGGAGAAAGTGATGCCATTTGTTGTCTTTAATTTGATTTTCTTTTCTATTGATTTAATATTTTGAAAATCTCTGATTAGTAAAAAAAATTCATAGATGAGATATCATTATAATACATGCAAGGCAGAAAATATATCCTAAGGAATCCTGACCTGTACATTTTTTCTGCAGTTTTTCTTCGTCCTTCATAAGAAGTTTGAACATGTGTCAACCCTTCACGTAATTCACCATGGCTGCATGCCCATGAGTGTATGGTTTGGCGTCAAGTTTACTCCAGGTAAGGTGAAAGAAAGTCATCAAAATTTTGGCCATTGAGTGGATGTGTGAATTGTGTTAGTTTTGTTTTTTCTGTTAATTGTGTTTACACATAGATGGTTCTGGAAATGATGGTGAGCAAGGAGTGGAAACCAATTCATGTAAGAAAACCACTGCCAACAGTACATGTACCTTGGGTTAACAGGTTTACTTTTATTTGTTCATATTATTAAGTCAATTTCTGATGCCTGCAGGTGGCCACAGCACTTTCTTCGGTCTGATCAACACCTTTGTCCACATTGTCATGTATACCTACTACATGCTGGCTGCTATGGGACCTCGCTACAGAAGATTCATCTGGTGGAAGAAATACCTGACAAACTTCCAGATGATTCAGTTCATCATGATCTTCACCCACGCTTTCCAGGTAGGCCTAGTGCATGGCAGGAAGGTGGTTATTAGAACGTCGCTTTTCATTTAGTTATTTTACTTATTTTACTTGTTATTTAGTTATTTTACTTGTTATTTAGTTATTTTTCTTTTTTAGTTATTTTACTTGTTATTTAGTTATTTTACTTGTTACAGTACTTTATAGGTAATGATCTGTGTTAGGAGCTTTTGGCTAGTTCATTGGGATTTTTGGCTTCCAGGCACCAGAGAACAAAATCTACTACCAGGAAAGGAAAGCCTAGTTAACGTGTTTAATTTCTCTTCTGTTGCCTGTTTCCTACTATGATCACTTTGATGCAGGGTTGCCTGAAGGGCTTCCCTATGTATTTGATTCTTGGTATTTGTTTTTTTAATATGTGCTATTTTTCCCTTTATTGCATTTCTTTATTCACTTAATATTTATTGGATTATCTGTTTGTGTTTATTTTTTATTAATATTTTAGTTTTTGTCAATTATTGTTATGCACATGTACATGCAATTTTATTTTATTTGAAAGTTGAAAGTTTAGATTTCATTAGTAGTGATTTGCATCATCAGTTAAGATGTAGCCAGCAATCTGCTGAAGACAAATTGATAATGCGGCTTTCTAGAAATATTAGCATACCATGAGCTGAGGGAAAACTGCCATTTATATAATTACACTACTGATCAGTTCCACAATATTTCCAGCTTTGCTTCACCGAGTGCAAATACCCCCGCGTCTTCATCTGGTGGATTGGAGGCCATGCTGTCATGTTCTTCTTCCTTTTCTCGGATTTCTACGTTAAGGCTTACTTTAAAGGACAGCAGAGTGTAAAGGTAAGGACATGACCAGTGGTGTAAACCTGTCTCCCTAAAGTTGATCAAAACCAACTTTTAAGGTTAATTTGCATTTCTTTTTTAAGGAATAGTTAATTGTGTTTGAGTATTTTGTCTTTATTTTATTTGATGCTGTAGGCTTATGTTTTTCTATTACACCACTACCAATAATGATCATTAAGTATAATTTCTCTATCTCTATCTTGTCTTCTCTGGTCCTTTCCCTCTCCCTCTCCTTCCCTTCCTTCCTTCTTCTCCACAGGATTTCATTGCTCTCTCTTTATGGTAGGTGTGCCTGTGTTTTCATGCTCTCTCTGTCCCCAGGCCCTTGCCAATGGAAAGACACGACTCAACGGATACACCAATGGCTACCTCAGTAATGGCTTCTCAAATGGCCACGTTAATGGATACACGAAAGTCATGGCTAATGGCAAATCCAATGGCCATGCCAATGGACATGCTAATGGACATGCCAATGGACATGCCAATGGCCATGCTAATGGCCATGCTAATGGACATGCCAATGGACATGCCAATGGACACGCCAACGGCTTTGCCAATGGGCATGTGGCCAAGGGCGAAGACTCCACCTCCTTCCAGACAAGAGCACGTCGGTTGGTGTGCATGAACCCTGAAGCGCTGCTAGAATGAGCCAAGCCCCACCCACTACCTCACACCTGAAGGCCAGCCCCAGAAGCAGCATCTTTACTATTGAATGAACCCATTCATTGTCGCAATCACTTGGCACAGGGCCAAATAACAGCAATGCGGTTGCCTTGGCTTTTCCCCTCCCCCAGCCCCCTTCTTCCCCTGCTCCTGTGCTTTGGGGAGCCTCATGCACAAATAGCAATTCCAAGTCCAAAAGACAATATAAATGTCACAGTTGAATAGCCAGATGATTGCCAGTGTGTAAGTCCTTGTTTTCCAGTTCGGTTTAAATTTTGTATTTTAGTGTTAAATTTTTTATTTTGTATATTTTGTTCTTTTTTTCTCTCATTAAGATGCTCAAAGCAATAACATTTACTTGATAGAACCTGTGTTTTTTCTAGTTAACAGTTTTATCAACATTCATTCTGATAAGATATTTATTTTGAAATGTCTTTCAAGACTTTGGTAAGCATTTAAGCATGGAGATGTCTGAAGAGGCTAACTGAATGTTGCATAGAGGTGAAATGATAGCCCAAGAAAATCATATGCAAAATTTGGGATTAACCTCCCCAGTGAAACTTTAAGGTGCTTCAGAGAATTTGGTGGTGTCAAAAAGTTATCTAAAACCAAATAAGTTGATACTAATGAAGTAGAAAATTGCCTCTTGAAATGGGAGTAAACAAAATTCTATATAGGCTATAAGGATTTAAGAATAATGTTACTAAGCTGGATTTTTTTAAGTTCACATCAAACTTGTGTCTTGAAACTCTGCTGTAGATGTGTGAAGTCTCTCTATGTATTACATAAAATGGCAAACAAAACTTTTCATTTTGTGGACTCGGATGATTTTTGTTAATTGGAAGAAACTTCACTCTTCACATGTTCTGTAACATTAAAAATGGTCAGGCAAAATGATCCAAAGCATATATTGTGTAAACTAGTTGTCTTGCTGTTGTTTTGTTAGATAAGGAAAATTATCTTGTAAAGAAAATAAAACTAATGTTGAAAATAGATTGTGACTAATTTTTAAAAATTTACAATCAGTTACTCATATCAGTACAGCATACCCCTAATTGTTGATGCACTACAGATTGGAGTGAACTGGACAGAGCACAACTGTAGGCATTGATTCTAATGTCCATCACTCTCTATTGGTGCCTTTTTCATTGTTTATTGAAGGTCATATACTTGACCTCTCCAACAACCATAGCAATCCCTGCCATATTAATTTAGGAAATGGGTAAGGAGGTAGTGTGTTAATTGTGCAACTTATTTTTGTACACTGTATGGACATGAAGTCCAGGAGAAATGTGATAATAGCAGTGAATCCAACATGAAGGTGAATTTTAAGCTCTTGTCCATTCACTTGTTTCATCATATGTTGACTTTGTGAGCTTTGCCATGAGGTCAAAATAACAGCAACTGCTCTATATATTGAACTTTTTCTCTTGAAGATAATGGACACTTGATTGTCTTCAGTGATGAAAAGTTAATCCCATGAATACCTTTGGAAATTTGATAATGGCAATTGACTTCGATAACAATCACTGCTGTAAATCTTTGGGCTTTTTTTTTCTTTTAATTTTTATTTTCTCTTTCTTTTTGCTAAATCATACAATTTTCTACATCAAATATTACAGTAGTAAAAGTAAAAGTTTGAAATTTTCAAGGGTACACAGTGTATGAAGAAACAAATAGTATTGTCTGAATGTAACCATACAGATTAGGCAAGACTTAAGATGAGGAACCAGGATATCATTGTTCAGCATAGCAGATAATAGTGTGAATTGTGTGCCTTAGAGCAATTAAAGAAGGGCCTTGACCTGTATCAGCAGAGGAGTAGAATTTGGAAATGAGCACTGCCTAAGTTTTACTTTTACCTTTATTTCGTCTTTCTAAATTAGTACTAGGAACATTTTATGTAGAGACGTTTTTTTCTCTCTCTTTTTGAGAACATTTAAAGAGGCCCCTATTAATAGAGGTGATGTGGGTTATTGCAGTTGTAAATTTTATGTAGTGGCACACAATTTGATGTTTGTTCATAGGTATTCTCATCAAGGCCAGAGACCCAAGCTGACCTGCTTGTATTCAGGAACTTTTGTCTCTTGACTTGAGAGAGGTGACAAATTCTCCAAATAGTAATAAATGTCATGTTAACAAATCACATCACATCAAAGGAAGCTAACATTCTTACCCAGTGAGCAAGGCAGAAGCAAGTCAGGATCTGTTCTTTTCAAGCCTTTTAATACATTTTTTTGTTTTGGAAAACTTTCAGGTCAGCATGGAACTGTAAATCGAGATTGGTATTTCATGATATTTACTTTTTATTTTTCCTTTATTCTATTTTTTAAAATAATTTTTAAAAATCAAAGAACAACTGCCGTTTTCAAGAAGTTGATGTTGTTAGAGTTTATTAGATAATTTGTTTTGGGCCTCTGTGCATAAGAACACATGCTCCGCCTTCTTGCCTGACTGTGCTGTTCTTGCCCTTTCAATGCATATATCAAGGAGGACTCGTTCCTTGTGAGTCAGCGTGTGGAATTAGGTGAATGTTATTTTTGTTCCAGTTTTTGTTTTCGAAAAATATATCTCTTGAGACTTCACTATTTATTTCAGGACACTGAAAGGTAAAAAAATCTTAAAATATTAAAAAAAAAATAATAATAATAAAAAAAAATCCTTAAAAAAAAGCATGTTGGCTCAGAATTAATCCTTTGACCCAGAAAACATTGAGGTTGTAGCACTAAATTCCAAGTAAAATGGTTGTTGCAGACCAATCTAAAGGCCTTGAGAATTCCACAATTATTTTCCATTAAAATTCTTGTCTGAATCAGCGTGCTGCAGAAATTCTCTTGTTGTCTGTGATTATAATGTTTTCAGCTCTTTTTTTTTCCCTGTAATTTGTTTTTTCTTTTTTTCTTTGATGATTTACAGCCCTTTCTTTCTATTTCTGTTCTGTTATTCCAATTCTGTACATTCTGTTGCTGCCATTTTGTATGCGTTCATGTGTATGTGTGTGTGTGATTTGCATGTAAGGGGAATCAAGCAGTTCACTCAAGGTGCAAGAAGACCAAAGTTTGTCTCGTCATTACAGTTGGTTGGAGGAGGAATTAAGAGCCTGGAGTTTCTGAAGTTCAGTTGCCAATTCCGTTGCTTTACTTAGACTATTTTAGGCTTCCTTAAACTTCGCTAACTGACAGGCATATGTGTTGTTAAGTGCAGATGTGAATGTTTTGCAATGAGAATTTGTATATGTAAAACATATTCATTTTTTGTAAAACTGTGTTTTCTTTCAACCTCAAGGGATTTAATGATGACTCGTAATTCTTAAATGTCTTGAAAAATAAATGTTTATTACTTTGCAGATAATGAATCATTGTATATTTATATCATTGCAGAAAAAGAAAAATGTTCATTATGAGAATTCTGAACTTTAAGATCTATTTAGTAATTTTTGCTTCTACACTCATTGGCTATATTTTATTAAATTATTCCCTATCCTTCCAACATAAAGTTGACCATTTTAAATATCTTCAGATTTATAAAGTAAAGGCTAGTACAGTGAGCAAGGTATAATTCAAAACAACCACAATACTTTTGGCGTACTTTGATTACCCAAAGTCTCAAGACATTAACTTTTTAACTAATGGAGTAGCCAGGAGCAGTTTTGGCATACTGCATTTATTTTATAGCTATAGCCAAAGAAGCATAAAAAGCAAATGAATACATAGAATAAGAAGTGAAGATATACTTACAATTTTGAGGTGAAGAATCTTTTTATATGCTGTTTCCAGTGAAGATGAAAATGGCCTTACTTTATACAAAAAGATATTGCTAAGCAATTTTTTATTAGATAAGAATAAAATATGCTGTAATTTAAAAAGCAAAATATTGATTGTGCTGATAACTCTAAAGAGGGTCTCCAAATTTGCTCTTGTTATCTCCAAAGAATGATCTTTCTCGTGTGTTTGCATTCTGCTTTTAATGCCCCCCTTAATCCCTTGGTGGTGGTTTGGGGGGGGGGGGTAGGAGACAAGACAGGCCCAATGTGGGGATCACACCTGCCTTGGACATTGGCCCTCGCCTCAACCAATTTCCATGGTCTCTTCCCCTTTCCTTTTCCTTCTCTTCACTCCCTTGTTCTGTCCACTTCCTAAGGTGTGAGAGCCATGCTGAAAGAATGAAAGGCTGGCTTTGTGTCAGATACGAATGGCAGCCCGGAGCCATGGGCCCTTACCCGATATTGGGATCCTAAATGATAGACCGTTTCCTTTCCCCACTTATTTCAGGGTCACCATGGCCAATGATGAACATTTTTAAACTTACCAGGGGCATTAAGGTTTGGCCCTTCATAAACTATCCTCTCTAATATGTATATATATTTTTTTTGTTTTTTCAGCCCCTACCTCTCCTTTGATCACGACCACAGATACTAAAAACCCCTCTTCGATGTTTATTATCAACTCTCTCCATTCCAAATCATCCAACCAGGTCATTACAAAACCTTCATAATACACCCTTCCTCTCTCCCAACATTCTCCACTCCATCTGCTACTGCACAGTATTTTCACTGGCTACCCCCTCTCTTCTCATTACTACTCTTCATCCTTATTGCCCTCCTCCTCACAGTACAACCTCACTCCACACCACCCCATCTTCCACCCATCATCGTCCTTCTACTACTTTCACCTCTGCAAACCTCTTGAGTACTCTTTGATCCAGCGAAGTGGGATCAATTTGTGATTCCCCCTACATCCCCTTACTCGGACAATAGCTTTTTCTCCCAACAATGTCTCCAAAAACAAGTAGTCAAAGTTTCCTTTCGCAGTCCTGATCATACACGCCTTGTCACAGTTGCATCCGAGTTCCAAGCTAGTACACTATCTATCCCGACATCTCACTGGCAAACCTATTCCTGCAGAACCTCACTCCTCTCTTAATACTTTTACTGGAACCGTTTCCGTCTCCCCGACTGCTTATCCTATCTACGACAAGAACTGGTCAGACTGTGGAAATTATCTACTTGTATGCATTGTTGACTATGATGCAGCGGCAGTATAGTGTTACACTATTCCTCCTAGGGGCCAATTTAAGTCCTACACCAATATTGCTAAGATTAGCTTCCGTAGACAAACTCCCACATGAAATTTATAGTGGTGGCGTTCTCAGATTCAGTTCTTTACGTGAGGTCAGACAGGAAGCACGCCAACAAAGTTCTCTCCCTACTTATTCCAAAACTGTCCTTCGCTCTGCTCCCCTCCCATCTTCAAGATGTCTCTGCATCTCCCCCAGTATCTCTTCCCTCTACCCGGAACCAACCTACTTCTACTCCCCCTCTTCCAGTGTCAAATTCCTTTTCCAGTCTAAATTCAGATACTCCAATCTCTACTACCTTCCCGATGCCTACCCCTCCTCCACACTTTACCTGTCGCATCTTCTACCACATCCTCTCCAACACCCTCTTTCCCTCTGCTCCTCAGACATGTATCTCTTTTGATACTTTTGTTTCTCAGACCTCCCCACCAGGTCCCTACTCCTTCCCCAATCACAGATACACTGCAATTCACTCAGTTACTCTATCCCCTTATATTCCCCCAACCCCTTCCCAAAATACTAAAGATAGCTACGTCTTCAGGCAAGAAGATCGGAGATATCGTAAGAGAAAAGAGGTCAAACCACAAAAGACCCCTCAGCCATGTGTACAGCATACCCTGTGGGGGTTGTGATAAAGTCTACATAGGCGAGACAGCACGAAGACTGCACGAACAACGAATCAGCCAACACCGCAGCGCTCTCCGACGCGACGACACGAAAAGCGCCTTCGTTGTTCACGTAGACACCGACGGTCACCTCCCGAAGTGGTCCCAGGCCTCCATCATAAAGCAAGGCCTGGCCTCACGACAAAGGAAGATGGTTGAAGCGGCGTTCATTCATACAACAAACATCAACAACACCGCTACGGGGAGCCACGAACTAGCCAAGGTCGTCGCTCACCTGATTACCGACGTGACCTGACCACCCATTTGTATGAATACTCCTCTATGTACCTCTTGTCATGTATGCCCTGACGAAGCACTAGCGAAAAGGCCTTCGGCATACTCGTGCTTTTCCTTGTCCCTCCCTTCGTTGTTCCTGTTGCATGGCATTTCGTATGGGTTTGTGTTGATAATCGCTTCGATGGTTAGATGGCCTTAAGAGACTCATCCTGGCTGTGGCTGTATATTTAAGTGGGCGTCTTTGTTTCCCAGTGCCAGGTTAGGTGCCGTTGCGATGTTGTCAAAGAAATGGGGGAGTCTGGAAGTAGGTGAGCCATTCTTCCTCTGTTAATTAGGTAGGTCAATATAGAACCAATGCGGCATCATCTACGGTGTCCTAAATGCGACGTCGGCCATTAAAGTAGGCAAGTTGACTATAGCATTTATGGTCTGAAGGGGTAGGGGTTAAATAACACGTGCATAAAGTAATAGGTCTTGGGGTATCTACTTCGACTGTTATTTTTTTTATTATATAATGTGCTTGATAGCTTTTGCAAGTCCATCGCTTGTTTCGTTTTTTATTAATTTAATATGTCGTGTATGATATTTTTCATTTGATGAGGATAATGTCAGGATCGTATTTCTTCGTCGCTTCCACGATAGGATATGCTATATTATCCGGAGTCTATTCACTGTTAAATGGTTGTGGTGCAGACGAACTTTTCCCTTATACACTGAAGTTTATTTGGCTCTCTGATCATTTCTGGGGCTGTGCCAATTGAGCCACCAGTGTCTTCATTTTTCCTCCGCCTTGTGTTCCATTCGGATTTTGTATAGTGACAAATAATATGCCCATCTTTTATTTGTTTTCCCCAATGCTTTTTGCCGGTGTTTATGTTGATTAGGTTCTCGCCCAGATAGTTCGAGGCCTAAAGTATCTGGGTTGGCTGATGTGCTCCAAACAGTGTTATTTTTGTATAGGCCTTGATTCACGCATTGCTCTGGGCCAGCGCATTCACCTTTCAGGTTTTATCTTCTGATTTTTTTTTTTTTTTTTTTTTTTTTTTTGTGGTTGGTTTTAGTTGTTGGGGTGGTTGAGGTTTTGATATATGTACCGGGTTTCCGTGGTAGCGACTACTCTTACATGAAAGGTTTTTACTTTGGGTGCTCTCTACCGGTCAGACCCTTCTTAGGATATACACCGATTGCCCTCGATACGTCATCACCGACTCCAGGCACTCCAGGCAGTTCAAAATCAAGAACTCATCTGGGCAGTGAACGCAAGATGCCCAAGCATTCCCTCTGCAAAACAATTACACGAACAATGACATGAAACCTCTGATCATTCGTTTGCTAGCAGTAGCAAATAGACCATGAATGTTACAAACAATGGGGATACGAACTATACACGCAACTGCAGCAAAGTGCTTTAGATGACGGACAAATAGCCCACAAGTTTACTCTCGGCTACACAAGCCGCCGCACCACTTTCAGATGACGGACGAAGAAATATACTAAAAATATGCAGTCTCTGCACATTCACCAACGTTAAATATCTTCCGTCAGGAAGATAATCGCTTCTATTGTAATACGAATACTTGATGGCATATGTAAAACGAAAAGAAGCTGCCTCAGGAAATTTCAAAACAGACATACATCTTGGGACCCTGAGAAGTAGACCGTTTCTCCTCCCCACAGACTTCAGGCTTACCATGGCCAATAATGAAGATTTTGTACCCTTATTAAGAGCATTAAGACTTAACCCTTCATCAACTAGCCTGTCTGAATTTGACTTCTCTATATGTTGCTTTCCCCCCCAATCCCTTGCCCGTTGTTGTCGTGGGGGGGGGGGGGCTTAGGAGACGGAGACTGAGACCCAATGCAGGGATCTCCCCTGCCTAGGGCCTCAGCCCTCGACTCAACTATTTTGCATGGTCTTTTCTCCCTCCAGCTTTCTGTTTCCGTCCCTTCTCCAACCCCTTCTACTATCTACTTCCTAAGGTGTAGGAGCCGTGCTGAAAGGATGAAAGGCTGACCTTGTGCCAGTCCTGAACGGTCTACGGGAACCATGGGCACGGTATCCCCCTGATTTAGTTGTCTAGCCTTTATCCCCTTAAGGGGCACTGGGGATGGACTGTTTATTCCCCCCACAGATCAAGACTTCCCATGGCCAGTAATAAAGATGTAATACCCTTATTAGGGACAACGAGGCTTGCCCCTTCATCAGACCATCGACCCAAGGCTCTCCTTTGACTATGACTCTGAACACTGAAACCACTACCCACTCCTCAATGCCTACTAGTGCATTACCCACCCAAGCCGAGACTCAATCGCCAGGAGACATTCTTACTCTCCCAACTTCCTCAGCGTCATCACCTCTACTCCTACAACCTTCATCAAACACCCCAACCTCCCTTATTACTACTTTACAGCCTTATTCTCCATCTCTCCGTAATACTACCCCCTTAAACAATACTCCCTCTTCCAAACGTCCCCGACCGTCCACCACCACCAACCCTACAAATATCTTAAACACTCTATTTAGCCTAGCTAAATGGGACCGATTTTACGTAATCCCCTCTACAGCTCCTTACTCAGGCAACACTCTTCTCTTTCAACAATGCCTCCAAAAACAAGTGGGCAGAGTCCCTTTCCATACCAGACGCGATCGCTCCCGTCCCGTAACAGTCAGATCAGAAACTGAAGCTATAGCATCAAATCTAACTGATCACTCTGGCAACCCCATTCCTGCAGAACCTCATCCACCTCTTAATACTTGTACCGGAACTGTCTCTATCTCCCCAGTAAACTGCCCAATCGACATCAAAGATTGGTCAGATTGTGGAGAAGACTTACTCAAATGCCTCAAAGACTTACTTTCAGTGCACATGACCTTCCCGTTCTTATCTACATTGGTGGACAATCCCTCCCTGTTCGACCATACCAACCCCCTTCCCGTCAATGTCAAAACTGTTGGCGCTTTGGACATCCTGCCAAACACTGCCGTTCCATAGACCGATGCCCCCATATGTGATCAACCCGGTCATATCCTCTGCACAAACACGTACATGTGCTAACTGCGGCGGCCCCCATAATGCATTTTATAGAGGCTGTCCCACTTACAAGTTTGAATCTGAGGTAGCAACTCTCAGATACAAAAATGGTCTCACTTTACGTAAAGCCAGATAGGAAGCACGTCGACAAGGTTTCTCTCATACTCCCTACTCTAGTAATGTCGCTCGCTCTGCCCCTCCCCCTCCATCCCAAGATGTTCCTATACCCTCCCATATACCTACATACTTCCCCACTTCCACTTCTACATTCAACCTCCCCCAGTCAAATTCTTTTGCCACTAAATCCAGACACCCCAGTCTCCACCACAGCCCTAATACCATCCCCTCTCCCTCCCCGCACTACCAGCAGCAGACAGACTAAACGTTCCACCTCTTCTTCCCCTACCGCACACTCACCTCCACCTACCTTTACCTTTACTCCTCAGACACCGGTCTCCTCTTCCCCCCTCATAAGAAAACCTTTGTCTCACAAAACTCTCCAACCAACTCCACTGCAGAAACTGTGGAAGATATCCAAAACTATATGCTTGAGACACAAAATACCATAACTCATACTCCCTCTACACTTGAAGTGATTGCCGATATCCATACCCCTCCTACTCATATTCCCCTACACCCCTTCCTCCTACTCCCTCTTAACTCCGCCGAGACCGATTCCGATATCCATCCTCCTACCACTAACACTCCCCCCCAACTCCTCCCAGCACAACCCACCCCTCAACTCCAACTATACGCACATTCTCCCTCCCTCCCTCCTGGATACACACGTGAAACACTCATGTCACAATAATGCCCGTCCCCAGATCCCCCACCTCCCAATACCCTTCCTTTACACGCTCTAGCTCCCCCCCCCCCCCCGATTCCCCAATACGTACTGTATGCGATATCACTCAAACTATAACTCTCCTATATTGGAATATTCGCGGTTTCCGTTCTCACAGACCAGACCTTCGTCATATCCGTGCTTCTTATAACCCATCCATTATCTGCCTCCAAGAGACTTTCCTTACACATCCTCCTATTCCAATTCCCAATTACCATCTTATCTCTTCCTCACACTCTCTTCATGTCTCGTCTATACTTATCTATCATAAAGTACCTTACGTCATACTTCCCTTACAAACCCCTGCCTCGTGCACAGTAATTCGCATCTTTCTTCCCCGTTGGATCACAGTGATTTCAGTCTACTTCTCCCCTTCCCATCCCATTGACTTTGTTGCCTTTGAAACTCTAATCTCCCAACTCCAACTGTTATGGCACACTTGAAGTCTAGGATATCATTTAGTGCCCATAAGAAGGTCCACATCATGTCCGGGGAAAAAAGAAACACATGAATAAACAACATAACTCTATTCAATAGTTTTTTTATGTACATTAATTATACATTGATATATATTAAAGAAAAAAATAAAATCCTGCTCCTATACCATGCATCCTATCCTATTTAGAATATAAAGAGACAATACTTAGCCGAGAGTGACCACAGGCAGACGCAGAAAACCCGAGGCCGGATTCTCAAAAGAGCCTTAAGTTAAGGCGTGCTGAAGGCCTTAACCGTCCTGCGGCGACCTACGTTAAGTCCCGTCAAAGGCGCCGTATCTTGGACTTAACTTCGTATGCACAAACGTTTTTTAAGGCGCCTTATCCCTCCCTTAAGCCCCGCAGCGCCGCAAATCACTTAAGGCGTCGGATCTTCGGTGGCCAATCACAACTGCCGTTTCAGGCGGCTCTTAGGGAATCTTGACCAATCATAAACCGTAAATGCCAATCAGCTGATTTCGTAAACACAACGCTGTGTCCAGCCCGTAGCATGATAGAACTTTTCAACAAAACTGATATTACTGAAAATGCAACCCCACACCTAATTTAAAGAATCTGAGCTTACCCAGTGTTAGTACACATCATTCTAAGAATTTGCCTCTATACCATTTTCTGCGCAAATTGATATTAGAGGTGTTACAGACGGTATAAAATGCACGCCTCCAACCCCGCGACAAATGACAAAAAGTTAAGAGTGACGGAAAATCAGACGGGATTTGTAGCGGAAGACGTAGGCAAGGGAAATCATGTGAGCCAATTAGATTCGAGCGTGACCGTGATGTGAACATAGACACTCAGTAGAACCAAACAGATTGAGAATAGGTCATCATGTGGCAAAAGAAATGTGTCAATATACTATGCTTGCTAGTATTCTACCGATATTTCTCGAAATTATCCCCCAAATTAACTGATATGCATCATGCCCTCCCCAGCAATCGGGACCGATATCGTAGTTATACTTCGTTTGCGAAGGAAATGAACACTAGATTCGTTCGGAACACGACGAAAGCTATTACAAAATTATTCTATTCACCCAAAAACCGGTGTGTGGTTGCAATATCGGGAAAAACAAATCACAGTTACGTTGGAATACTACACTTGTTGCCTTATCTAGTAGTCTACAATTGGTTTATGTACACCTAATGACACTATAATTGAGTAAAATACAAATTGTAATGTATTAATTGTTCTAGGGATGATAAATATCATTTATGCTTCGCCGTAACTCGCTAAGGCTGCTCTCCCCTGCCTTAACCGAGGGCGCCTTAACTCGCACCAATATGGCGGTCCTTGCTCTGTGCAGGGCGTAAGATCGCTGGCCGTAAGTTAAGGCGGCCTAAGGAGATACGGCGCCTTAACGCGTTTGAGAATCCGGCCCCCGAGCTTTAAAATATGGCGAAGTGGCTGGCTGAGAGCCAGTGCGGTCGGAGTGTCGAGCTCGAGTCAGCCACCGAAAGGTCGGGTCGAATTCCGAAACATTTTCATTACGTGATTCACGTATGCCTGGTCACCTAAACACTTTCAATTAATTTCAATGATTAAACATTGATATATTCAAGATGAAAATGTAACTAACGAAATAATCAATAATGCCTAAATAAACGCAATAATACAATTAATTTACTATACTAATTAATTCACCCGTAACACCAACCACCTTTCCTCGTTGTTGGTGATTTCAACTGCCGCCACACTGTGGGGTGACTATCACCACCTCCCGAGGCTGATCTCTAGAACGCTTCTCTCCACAAATAACCTAACTATTCTTAATTCAGATCGCCCCACACACTTGCGCACACAATCCTTTTCATGCCTTGACCTCTCTCTATGCTCCCCTGCTCTTCATTTAAACTTCCATTGGTCAGTTCTAGACCACTTCCCCTATAGTGACCACTTCCCAGTACTCCTTTCTCCAACTTCGTCTGTACCACTTCCTACCACTCTCTACTATACCTATCCCTCCACACACTTTCCCGCCCACTTCAGATATGCTACGTTTAACAACCACGACCCTGAGAGCTGCCTTTACAGCCATTCCTCGAACCTCAAAACCTTAAACCTCTAAGGGCCGTACTTTAAAAAGTCTACCGCCACCACTGGCGCTGGCGTTTGAGTGGGCGGTGGACAAGTTTCGTACTTTAAAAACCCGAACTTCGAACGGCTGCCATTCCGAACTTCCGACGCCCCGAACTGACGTTATATTATTGGAACCTGTGTGGCGGTGGAGCGCCAGCATGTATGTGCCTTTCATGGTGGCGTTCGACAGTGTTCTTCTATACTGTTAAGCCTACACTTAACGAATATTTATTTCATAATAGGCAAAACAACACAGGAAATTTGGACAGTTTTTATGATCATTTAGCAATTATTTTACAATCGAAATATTTTGAGAAGACTTTACTGCGTATGTTTGAATCTATTCCAATACTTCTTGCCTCACTTTGGTCGCCTTATTTCAACGTTATTTCTTAATAGTTTGTTGAACATGAAGCAAATGCATTTTGTAGAATCTTTAATGCGCATCACATAGTATTAAAAACCTGATGATCACATGTATGAGTAACAAATATTTCGCAATTTGCTAGTTTTGGCATAGCCGAAATATTACTTAGCTTATGACTTGTATTGTATGCATGTGCGAGTATACACACACACACACACATACACACGATATATATATATATATATATATATATATATATATATATATATATATATATATATATATATATATATATATGTGTGTGTGTGTGTGTGTGTGTGTGTGTGTGTGTGTGTGTGTGTGTGTGTATGTGTGTGGTGTGTGTGTGTGTATATATATATATATATATATATATATATATATATATATACACACACACACACACACACACACACATATATATATATATATTATATATATACACATACTATATATATATATATATATATATATATATATATATATATATATATACATATATATATATATATATATATATATATATATACACACACATATTTATATATAATTANTATCAGTCTATCTATATATGTGTGTGTGTGCATATATATTATATATATATATATATATATATATATAAACAAATGTACATATTTATGTATGGGCATACACATAACTTTGATATTACTTTAATACTTATAGGTGTTCCATTCCTATTACTTTGAGGTGAATGGCTACATGTGGACTGCAATTGAAATTAGCAGATAATCCTGAATGATCCCAGGAGTTTGTGAATATATGTTTCAAAGAAATATTAAAGTAAGATGCAAGCACTTTCCAACGATAGGTCTCCTTCCTGACAGCACAGCCATGCAAACATGCAGTCAAAAATGTCAGGGTATTACTGAGTTTCCTGGTGTATCAGGGGAAATTGGCATTTTAGAGACAGTGTGCATGTGATCCTATTTTAGAATTATATGTGGTGCTTGTACATGACATCTGTAAAAGTGCAGATTTTTGGTAAACATTGACTGCAGCACAGAATTAGAGCAAACTCAGTACATAGAATGTTTGATTGAAAATATTGTATGTACGCCCTCATATCTCATTTCTAATGTAAGCAACCCTACTAGAGGTTCTGAACTAAGATATGATGCAATTTGATTGCGAGAAGGCATTTGATATGTGTCAGAGAAGATTAATTTGTGACAATTTTCACATAAACATGGTCATTTAACAATGGGTTATTATTCCTACAAATGAACATGTAAATAGTAATACTATTAACAATTAAAATTACAATGAGAGGGAAAGGGTAAAATTGGCAGGTGAGAAGGATTAAGGGGATAAAAGCAGGCATTATAAATACTGTGTATGTGTATATGCCTGCTTGTATATGTTAGAAAGATTATGAATATGTGTGGCAGTATTAAGGTGTAAGTGCATGTGAATGCACTTTTTTCTATAAGATAAGCTGTAGGTTAATATTTTTTATTGGTATTTGAAGTGATAGCCTAGATGAAAAAGTCAACAAGCATCAAATTTCGCGCCAATTTCATGTTTTGATTCGCTAGATAGTAGCGGTTATTGTCGGAGTTAGCACTTTTCGTGGCGGCCGAACGCCAGCAGTGGCGCTGGCGGTCCCTGGCGTTGCCTTGTTTTTAGAGTAAGGATTCGAGTCGCTCGTGGCGCCAGAGCACCACCGCCGCCGTTCGAAGGTTTTTAAAGGACGGCCCTTAGTCTCAGATGAGTGCGCCAGTCTCGTAAACACTTTTAATTTGAAGTTAACACCGCCCTCTCATTTCTTGAAGCACTTTTTGCTAATTTATTTTAAATTTTGAATTCTATGACTCATTGATTCCATATATTTGTTTCCATGAAAACAACATTGCTATTAACTATATGTATATACATACATGTACATTTTTTTTTTTTTTGTATTGTTGGCATTACTCATGCATGGCTTTATTATGTACTTATTTTTTTTTTTTTTTTTTTTTTTTGTTGTAATTTGTAATTAATACTGTATATGCTTACAGTATTGACGAAGTATTTTTTTTTTTTTTAAATAAAGGCATTACTTAAACGAGTGTATTTCTGTCCTTTGCACAAAACATATACAATGGTTGGTACTATCCTAAATATTACTCAATATACATTTATTACTGGTAATAGATATAATCTATTAGTTTCAAATATTCAGTAGTATCTTTAAGGATTAAGTTTCTTTACTGCGATGGTGATATTGTCATATGGCAGATAGTCAATATTTTTCTATGAATGGAAAAAACAACATAAATAACAAATAATAAACAATGTATATTTTCAGTTATTTACATGGTCTTAGTACAATAATATTATAATACACATGATTATAGAATTCAGCTGCACATGTTTTCTCTCTCTCTCGAAATGAAAATTTTCTAACAAGCAATATGGTATATAAATCACAACAATAATAATAAAAAAACACAATCTGGCAACTATCAACTTATTGAAGCAAAGAGAAGTGTCTGGCATCTATCCAAACTTTTTCGTAATGCCAATAGATGGCGTTGCTGCATCGACGCACATTTTGTGCTATACTAAATGGGTATACTTTCCTATCATTCCTGTATAGTCTTTGACCTGTGACTGAGCAGGCCTATTCAGGAGTACCGCTGCTCACCCCAACTGGGGAAGGCCCTATAAAAAGTGGGCTAAACATCAGTGGTCACACCATTCCAGTCATTGGGCAGCTGCACCCAGTGACCCACTGTATACGTAGCCGTGAAAGAAGGAAACATTATAATAAAACATACCTCAAAATAGGTGCATGGAATGTGCACACCCTTCCCTTATGTGATGCCAGAGACACAGATCGCCCTGAAAGGCGACCAGCCTTAGTCTCAAGAGAAATCACCAAATTCAACATTGATGTGGCTGCTCTCAGCGAGACTAAATTACTTGGCGAAGGGCAAATCACAGAAGTTGGGTCAGGATATACTTTCTTTTGGAAAGGGAAAAACCCGGAAGACCACCGCTCCCAGGGTGTGGGCTTTGCAGTTAAGACCCAATTAGTAAAAGCCCATAACCTGACACCAAATGCGATCAATGAAAGAATCACCTTACTAAGACTACCACTCCCAAAAAATCAGTTCATCACGCTAATATCAGTGTACGCCCCAACACTAGATGCGGAAGACCATGTCAAAGGTGCCTTCTACCAACAGCTTGACACTGTCATATCCCAAATTCCAGCTGGGGACCGTCTCCTTCTCTTAGGGGATTTTAACGCCAGAGTAGGGCGAGAACATGAACTCTGGCGCAACATAATCGGCAAGCAAGGCATGGGAAACTGCAATGATAATGGCCTCCTCCTCCTTGGCCTCTGTGCTGAACAGGAACTGTTCATCACAAACACGCAGTTCAGACTCCCGAACCGATTTAAGACTACCTGGAAACATCCTAGATCAAAACACTGGCATATCTTAGATTATGCCATTGTCAGACAACACAAAAATGAGGTTTTAATCACAAGAAGCATGCCCGGAGCCGATGACTGCTGGACAGATCACCGGCTACTCATCACAAAACTAAAACTAACCATCAAAAGGAAGCCACGTAACATCCAACAAAATGAAGCCAGAAGATATGACACTGGCAAATTAAAAGATCCTGATACATCACGAGCTTTCCAAGCAGCAATCCAGCAGAACCTACCAGCCAGAGAACTTTCAGTCGACGCTGAATGGACTAACATACGAGATGCCATCAATGAAACTGCAAGAACCGTAATCGGCTATCAGAGCAAACAGCACCAGGATTGGTTTGACGACAACGACAAAGATATTGAGGCCCTCATTAACACCAAACGGAAAGCCCGAATTGCCCATGACCAAGACCCTAATTCCCAACCAAAGATGGCTAAATATGCACAAGCAAAGTCACAGTGTCAAGCCAGGCTTCGGGAAATACAAAATGAGTGGTGGCAGCAAATGGCTCAAGACCTACAAGGTTATGCTGACAGTAGGGACCTTAAAAGCTTCTTTGAAGGCACAAAGAAAATTTTCGGACCCAAGCACACTGCTGCAGGGACACTTTTGGCAGCGGACAACACCATCCTCACGGAAGACTATGAGATCCAGAACCGTTGGGTAGAACACTTCAACACCCTCCTGAACAGGAACTCATCAGCCCAACAAGACTTCCTCCGAAATGTACCACAACACCCACCCAACTATGGATGTCCCTACACCAACATTTCGAGAATTTGATGCAGCACTGAAACAAATGCGCCATGGGAAGGCCGCGGGACCGGACAACATTCCTACTGAATTCCTGACCCACGGAGGTTTAGTTCTGAAGACGCGCCTTCACTCCCTCATACTAAAAGCATGGGAAGAAAAACAGGCTCCCAATGATTGGAAAGACGCACTCCTTGTCACCATCTTCAAAAAAGGAGATAGAAGAGAATGTGGGAATTATAGAGGGATATCCTTGCTATCAATTGCAGGGAAGATCTTGGCAAGGATCCTACTAAATAGATTACAAATTGTAGCAGAAATAATCTTGCCAGAATCCCAATGTGGTTTCCGCCCGTCTAGAGGAACCATAGACATGATTTTCTGTGCTCGCCAACTACAGGAAAAATCAAAAGAACAGCAAAAACCCATATTCCTAATTTTCTACGACCTCGAAAAAGCATTCGACAGTGTACCAAGAACAGCCATGTGGTCTGTCCTCAATCGCTTCGGAGTCCCTGAGCCTTTTGTTGACATGATCAAAGCCCTACATGATGGGATGACAGCTAAAGTAATCCATCAAAGTAACCTGTCAGCCCCCTTCCCAATCACATGTGGACTAAAACAAGGATGTGTAATGGCCCGACCCTTTTCTCTTTATACTTAGCTGCCATGCTATATGAAGTACCCCACAACAACCCAGGGGTTG